TCTTCTCTCTCTTTCTTTCTCTCTCTTCCTCTCTCTCTCCTCTCCCTCTCTCTCTCTCTCTCTCCTCTCTCTCTTTCTCTCTCTCTCTTCTCTCCTACAACGCGAAGTTGGCACGAATAGTCTGTTTTTGCATTGCTTACACTTTTTGCACTCAGCATTTTCGTTTTCTCTCTATTTCGCCTAAATATATATCTATCTCATTTTCACAAGTTTCAAAAATTTTTGGAGATTTTAAACAATGTGAACAAACCTTTTAAATCCAAAAATTTTGGGGAATTTCGAGCAACGCGAATAGGGCCCTTATTCTTGAAAAGAGACATTTACGAAAATCTAGGGAAATATAGTATACGTTACGTGTTCTATAGTTTGAACTATTGTACAATATTATCCTAGTTTTTCGTATGCGATACTTTTCAAGAATAGGAGCTCCTACAACAATTTATTTTAATGCTGAAAATGAACGTCAGCATAAAAAAGCATCTTAATAAGCGCAATTGAGTGAGTAGGAGCTACAATTGGAGGAAGTAAAAATTGGAGAAGCATATTGGAGCATGCGACGCGAACAAACCTAATGGGCCTTCTACGATAAGCAATTTAATCATAAATCAGAAGTCAGAAGCTAAAAATTGACCAATCACAGTCGTCAATTTTTATCTTCTGACTTCTGATTTAGGATTAATGGTTTACTGTACAAGACCCATTATGCTTTATGTATTATTGTAGATCCGGGGTTATGCAAGAATGTGCTTCCCACTACGCATAAAACATGAAACATAAGAAAATCAATCAATCAGAATCCTTATTTCAGAAAGGAAATAAAGGACTTTGATTGGTTCATTTTCTTATGCTTTATGTGTTATGCATTATGCAAGTCTGTGCTCTCCGCTTTAGGCCGGAATCAAACTACGCATTGAAAAATAAGATTGAGGATTGAAAGATTGAAGTTTGACCAATCAGAACAAAAAAAGGATCCAAAACTTCTTTGTCCTCATTGGTGAAATTTCAATCTTTAATCTCAATCTTCAATGCATAGTCTGATTCCGGCCTCCTGTTCTTTTTGGTTGAATTTTTGCACTAGTTCATCTTTCTTCCTTTTCTCTTCGGGAGAAAAAAAAGGAAGAAAGATAAACTGATGTAAAAGTTCAGTTAAAAAGAACAAGCCTATAATCAAAGATGGTCAAAAGTAGAAATGATGGAGGATATGGATAGCTTGGATGACAAACTTTTCAATAATGCATTTAGAAGAAATCCATCCATTGAAAATAGCAGAAAAAGAATTACATTTGCAGGTTCAATTAAAAAATATTAATCAATATGCATTTTATAAGTTATTTATCTGAGTAAAACATTTGGAAGCGTTTAATAAAGTTTTTGTAGCTAATTTTACAGATGTATAGATTATTTTATTATTTCTCATTTATAGATGAGGATGATCCATTAGTTAGTTTGCTAGCCGATAATGAAGATTTGTCATCGAATCAAAAGATTCCAGTAACAGTAAAAGATAAACGAAGTATAATAGATGATTTGTTCAGTAAGAAAGTTTCCAAAGAGTTGTTATCAGATTCAAAGTCAGATGAAAAAGAGATTAGCTTGATGTCTGCATTAAATACTACAGAAATTGAAAGATTAAAATCGGATGATAAGATAAAAAAATTGTCATTAATGCAAGATCTGTTTGGAGATATGCATACTTCATTACCATTGAAAGAATCAGTTAGTAAAAGATCTGTACAATTAGAACTGGATGTTACACAACCTTCAGCTGAAGTTTCTAAGACACAATCACAGCATTCGACTTATGCGCCAACGTCTTTTGGAACAAGAGAATCTCGTAGAGGCAAAAGAACTTCAGAGATCATTAATGATCCTCTAGGTTTATTTTTCTTGGATACAACATCAAATCAAGCTAAGCAAACTGTAAATATAAATTCATTAGGTTTGCATATATTTCTAATGTCTGATAATATTATTAATTTTGTTTTCTACTCATGTTTGATAATTCTGTTGTTATTTCAAAGACAATAGAAACACATACAGTGCCTGCAGAGCTTGATAAACAGAAATTGGAAATTAAAGAATATTTACCAAATTGGTTGGAACCTAAAAAAGTGTCAGAAGATAAAAAAAGTAGCGATTATGTTCAGGATAAAGTAACGCCTACCGAAGAATTGTTTAGTAAATATAGGAGAGCTAGTTCTGATAAAATTATTCAAGAAGTAAGCAATATCATTGATGTACAAATACAATAAAAATACTATTATTGTTTTAATTCTTTATTATAGTAATTATTCGTTACAGATGCCACAAGATGATAAGATAATGGTAACCAAATCACTGCCACAAGAGAAGAAAAAATTGTTAAATTTATCAGATAATCAAGAGATAGAAATCAATGAGTATGAGAAACAGGAAATTGAAGAAAATTATGCTAAAGTAAGTCTTTAAGTTACTTATTTTAATAAGAAAAATTTATATTTATGATTATTTTGTAATTAAGATTTATTCAGGGATGCCAAAGAATTTCACTACTTCGTAATCTATTACTAGAGATGTAATGGATCACGCTGATAATCCATAGACCTTTTGGCTTCTTTGAAGAAAATATCTGTAAAAGCTCAAAAGTTTAATTAAGATTTATTAATCTTGTAGCAATCCAACACAACGGTTGTTCCAATTATTTCTGATATAAATACAAATTCGGAAGATGTACGTATCTTAACTCATAAAAATATAGACTATGAAAAAGCAATTCATAATTTAGAATTAGAAAAGTCTCATTTGTCGGTAACATTACACAGCTTAAACGAAAAATATAAAAATGAGATAATGATTCTAGATGAGTCATATAAGTAAGTAGGAGCTCATTATTTTATATATATATATATATATTATATATATATATATATATATATACGCACACACCACACACACGCGCGCGCGCGCATATATATCTATAAATATTTCTTTTCTTTTTCAAAAATGTACAATTGCTCCAAAGACGGCAAATAGGATTCTTACAAGAAAAAATAGACACATTGGAAAAGAAAATGCAGCAAGAACTTGAGTGTTTAGAGACAAATTATGAAGCAAAAATTGAAAAACTGAAAAACAATGAAGTACAAATTGAGACATTTTATAAAGAAGAAGTACAGAATTTAAAGGCATAAAATTTTTTATTACTTAAAAATTATCTGTGGCATTGATTATATTGCTATAATTAAAGTTAATGTTTAATGTGATTTATTTTATTTAGAAAGAACATGCACAATTTATAGAAGAAATTCATAAACGCCATTTTCAAAACGTAAGACTGCTGCAAAAAGAGCATTTTGACACGATAGAAAACATATTAAAAATGAGAGAGGTAGAGAATTTAGCTATGACAACCATAGCGGCTCACAAGACTGACTTGCAAGATTTGTTACAAAAAGCTAATTTTATTATAGAGAATATAAAACTTGTGCAAGAAAAGACTGATCAGAGGGACGACCAAAGTGTAAAGTTAAGAGAATATTATTTAAAAAATCAGGAGGAAGACATGCAAAGTATGTTAAGATGTTATTATATAAGTAGTTTAAATAATTCATAGTTTTTATTCACTTTATAACTTCACTGTAATTTTATTACAGTACAAAATGTAGAAATCAAAAAGCAACAGAAATTATTGGAACAAGAACACGAGAAAATAATGAAAGTAGCAGACAAATTAGATTCGCACGTTACACAATTAATGCTCAAATTAGAGAAAAAAAGTGTGGAGCTTAATCAAACATTGGAAACATTACAAAAAAGAGAACAATCTTTGTCACATGAAAAAGAAATGTTTGAGGAAAAAGTACAATGGGAGCGTAATCATTTACAGGTACGTAATCATTTAATATGGATAATTAATATTTGTATGAACATTATATTTAAAACATTTTTATGTTTTTATATATTATATATATTTTATAAGATTTTGAGAGAATCTTGGTTTAACGAACAAGAGAAACAACTAAAGACTTTAACAAAGGAGAAAGGAGTGATCGCGGCTAAAAAGAAGCAATATGAAGTTTTAAAGACAATTAAAAGTAATTCAGATAACTTCACAAAAATAGAGGTAAAAGGATAAATCTATGAAATATAGAATATATTAGAAAAATAAAAACTTACTTTATAGTTAGCAGCTGCTATAAAAGCAGCACAAGATGCCACTACACTCGCAAATCAAGAACGCTTGAAATGGCAAGAAAAAATTAAATATCTTGAAGTGCAGCAGCAGGCTTTACAGGAAAGAGAATATCGGCTCTTAGCACGCGCCCAAGATCTCGAAAATTTTACACAGGTAATGATAATCGAATGTGCGATACAGTTGATATTAACACAATTGAATATTTATCTAGATAGCATTTGAGAAAAATGAGGAAGCCACTAAATCATTGAGAGATGCTCATTACATCGAAAATGAGCATAAAACTAAATTTGATCCTCATTACAGGAAATTTGGGAAGTTCAATTTGGCAAGGTAATATTTTGAATTAATTTTAACAATTTAAAAACCAATGTTTAAATATTTTTTAATTTTCTCAGCGAAAAATTATCTTTGGAGAAAATAAAAAAAAGTACAAATATCCCTTATAATTACAAGCGAACGTTATCTAATCAACATGAGTTTCAAGTTACTACTCATTTTACAGTAAGATAAATATAATTAGGAAATAATAATGATGTTCTTTATCTTGAATTATTTCATAAATTAACATTTTATAAATATATATACGTATATGTATGACGCTACGAATTAATTCCAACACCTAATATATATATATACAGTATATATATATATATATATAATTATTTTTCAGGAAGTTGTTGATCCTCAATTAGTAATGTTGAAGTTGAATCTGGACGATCAATTAGATAACATTCAATATACATGACTGCCATAAAATTTTGATATAACATTTGACATACATGTGTTGTATACTTTTCATATATGTGTGTGAAAACTGTCTGTTTAATATATTATATATTTTAAGTAACAGATAATAAATGCATGTGTTAACATATTTATTACATAATAGTTGAACTGCTATCTGTTGATTCATTATTGATGTTAATTAAATCTATATTTCCATCTGAAAATAATAATCTTTAGTTGCTATTATATTCAGATTACTATATTTCAAATTGATATTTTTTTTTATTATTATATATGTACAGTACCTAAAGCTATATATTATTTTAATCTTCAATAAAGAACAAATAATATTATTACTAACATTTTTACCAAGTGTTGATTATAAACAAGAGATTACCTTCAATATTATTACTATTATCTAAGAGATGTTGGAGCACTACTATATTTTCCTTCAATGTTTCCAGCTGAGCAATACTGCACTTTGTTTGATATAACTTGTTTTCTATAACTTCTGTGCACATTGTCTACAAGATAAATTAGAAAGTGTTAATATACTTAAAGATATTTTATCTTCAGTGCCTGTGAATAATGTCCAATATTTTACCACATCTTGAATTAATTTTGAAGGATCCACATTATTTTCTTTAACATTAGTGAGTGCTTTGTGAATATCTCCTATATTATTCAAGAATTCAATTGCATCAATGAACATTGTTGTCATATTTCTGAAACAGAGTGTTAATGTTTTGGAGTGTATATATATATATATATAAAATTTTTTTAATAAAAAATGTATGAATCATATATACCGTGCATAATCATGTGATACAGGTAAGCCTGAAATATTGCTCGTAGAATGTACTATTTTATGTACAGAGTGTTTGTGTGATGTTATCATATTAAGATGTTTTGTGATGTTCTCCTTGCATTGTTCTGTCTCCCCTATGAACAATAGATTTATGCCTTGTATAACTGCAAAGTTTTTCAATAACAAAATTCATTCCAATTAAAAATAATCTAGAATAGCTTACTTCTCAAGTCTCGCAATTCCTTCATTAACTCTTTATGTTCACTAGGCTCTTTGTCGAGACATTCTAATTCAAGCTGATTAGCCAATCTTTTTTGTTGCATAACTCTTATAAAACGTTCTATATCGTCCATATTGTACACGCTAAAACAAAATGCAAAACAAATTCCAAAATCTTTCTATTGTAATAATCACTTTTCAAATATATATCTCAAAAGATCATTTAATTTCATTTTGAAGAATTTTTCAAACAAACTTATGTAAAGTAATCACTATAGAATTTGAATTTATAAGGATGAATTGCAAATTGTACAGCACAGAGAATGTTTATAAAAGAAACTTGTACATATTCAATTTAACTTCAATCCATTTATTCACTAAACATTACACTTTCAAACGACTGATTCAACCGATGTCAAGTATAAGCACAGTATATACAGTAACGCAACTCTCCTGATTTTATATTGGCCAAAATAAAGTGCGCATGCGTGAAATAAGTACAGTAGAGCCTCTCTAATATCCGTATTTATAGTTCTTCCTTGAGGAATGAGGATTCCTTGTTCCTCATTTCATGTTTCATAAACCTTCCTTGACCAAGGAAACAAGGAGCCTTATTAGCTTTGTTTTTTCAAGGTAGGTTACGAGTTTCCTTGAGGAGGAGATATAGTCTTCATAACTAAACAAATCTCCAAATTTAATTCGTCATACCGGTCTTTTTACTTTCGATAGCATTTAATTTAAATCTGACGCATCGATAATTATTTTTGATAACTTTTTTTTCGGAAATAAACTTCTCTAAAAGCATTTTCTCCTTCTTATAATAAGCATTATGACGTATTCGATTGGAACACTGATGCATATTAAAGCCGTTGTACACTAATTTGAATATAAAAATAAAATATTTCGAATATAAAATACATATTTTATCTAACAGTACAATAAAATGTATTGAATATTTCACAATTTAATCGATTTCTATGTTTATTTATAAACATATATACGTTATATATATTGTATATTTACGTTATTTTGTATGTACGGCTGTTTTAATGTGCATCAGTGCGCAATGAGTGCGTCCAATCAAATTCGCTATTAATTTTATTTTTGTCCATTATTGTTGCAAAATGCTTAATCACGACCTTATTTAATCAACAATGCCTTTATAATCTTTATTATTCGTAATTCACGATATTAGGTATGCATATACTATATATACAATATTATGACATGCTACTCTCAGTAGGTTACTAAAATTCCTAAAATATTCCTTCCTTCGGGAAGGCAGACTTAAGATCCATTTATGAAACAAGGAGGCCTTGGGAATCGAGAAATCCTTCATGGAAGTTTCCTCCATCCTTAAAATAAGGAAAGACTATAAATACGAATGTAAATTTGGCCCATGGGGCGATAAGAGTGCCAAAATTATAGAGTACCCTCTCTACAGCACGAGTCTACCAATCATCGCGCAGTTGCGCATGCTAACCTGTCAAAGTGCACTACAGTGTACATAACCTTAGCAGAACAAGTCATATGTATCATATATTATGTATCACAAAAGAATACATAAAGAATTACACAAATAATTAATAATTATACATAATCTGCCTATGGAATTACATTACATACACTGTGAGACTAGCATACCTAGTACAAAGTGCAGATGCGCGCGTAAAATATGTCCAACCTACTATACATGGAAAGAGCATGACATTAGTGTTTGTAAAAATACGTGTGAAGAATGCAAAGATTATAGAAGTCAAATTTAGAGAGACTCTACTGTAAAGTGAACAAAAGTAACATAGAAAACCGAGTAAGAAAGATTACTTTTTATTTATTGTATTTTAAACTTATTTTTTGAACATATGTATCTAAATTTCTTTTATATCAGCTTTCTCATAATATTTTCATAGCATATATAATTACATAATATTTCTTTATACAAATATACATTTTTTTGCTAATTTAATATTTTTCTTTATTTTTCAATATATTTATAATTTATTTTTATTAATTTTCATAAAGTTTAAATTATTTCATTGCAATAGTAGGTTTATTGGTCCAATTTGCTCCAATATGCTCCTACAATAGTTCTTACTCACTTCAACGCATTCGTTGAAATGCGATGCGAATAAATCTAGTGAGTTTTGCAAGGAATTTTGACAGAGCGAAAAAAAGGATGAAAAGAGAAAGAAGTTGAGGTGGTAACCATGACAATGCTTGATAATTTACTTATTTCTCGCATGCGCACTCCATTTTGGCCAACACTAACATCAAAGACAGAGAGCTGATAGAGAGTTGCGCTACTGTGTATACTGTGTATACTATGGAATTACCGAGAGAGGGATTTGTGTGGGAGTTTATTCCTTACAGAATTACATGGACGCGCGAATGTGTAGCCAGTGACATACCGGATTGTGTCGCTGCACTTTTCTTTAATAATGTGATAGGAAACCTCGATCAAATAATTCATTGGATATCGTTTTGAGCAGATCCAAAAATGAGCACGATCTTGGAAAAAATCGCCTCAATTGAGGCTGAGGTAATGTCTGTTATATTGTGTTGCGATATGATTCACAATAGGTTATTCGCAGCATAGGTTATTTGCAGCATTATTGTTCATCACGATTTGCTTTTCCAGATGGCTCGTACTCAGAAGAATAAAGCAACTTCTGGACACTTAGGTTTGCTGAAAGCAAAACTAGCCAAGCTCAGACGTGAGTTAATCACTCCAAAGGGTGGTGGTGGAGGTGGCGAGCAAGGTTTTGAAGTTGCCAAAACTGGTGATGCTCGTATTGGCTTCGTTGGTGCGTCTCTTCCAATCACATCATAATCTTATACTCTATTACAGCTATATTATCTCTATATTAGTTTGATAAATTCACGTGTTATAAGTTTCATTCTAACTTTCCTCTGCAAGTAATGAGTGCTAAAGATATTCTAAGTTTACACAGTGCATGAGCACCGAAACTGAACTCAATCAATGTCATTAAACAGACTTGTTTAAAACTTTATCTCTAGCCGACGTTTGATTTAAATGCTCGTGTGCTTTAAGCCTGGATCTATAATATAAATTTTTAAGTATTAAGCTATAAGAAATGGACGAATCATTGTCAATTATTTTCCTTGCATTTGACTTTAATTCTGCAAACACAATAGAGTAGTAAATCTTAAGGCTTAAGGAATTGATCAATCATGTTAGATTGTTCTTCTCACATTCAACTGTGATTGATCAATTTTTTTTAAAGCTTAAGGGAATTCTAAAGCCGCCTGTATTACCGATTAATCATAATTTTTGTATAACAATTTTTTTTCTTTTACCGATTTGAAAATCCTTTTCCAGGATTAGAGTATACGCATTAATACGTGTCTGTGAGGTGGAGTTTATGCCGAGAATGACAAAAAATTTTTCTTAATTTTAATTTAAAACATTTTATCGTTTTTTGGAATAAATTCCATCTCACAGATACATATTAATGTGTATACTTTAATTTTGGAAAAGAATTTTCGAATCTGTAAAAGAGATAAAAAAAGTAAGTCCTTCCAAAGCATGTAATTTCATTTTAGAAGAAATATTTTTTTCTATTCTTTGAATCTTAATTCCATAAACATATTGTTCGTTCAAGTAATCCCGCCCGAATGCTTATTTTTAATTTATAAGTAAAACTTTTATATCAAGCAATGGCTGAAAAAGCAGCTTTGCAATTGTTGTAAAATTCTTTAATACGATTGATCCTGCTCTTAGTTCCTCACTGGATCTAAATGCATAAACTCATATTCAAGAATTTTACAACAATTGCAAAGCTGCTTTTTCTGCTGAATGCAGCCAATGTTAATCTCAGGTAACAGTTGCATGTGTCAGAAAAAGTGAATTTTTTAATTTTTTTTTCGATTTTCTCGTGAAATCGTGTTTTCCGGAATGTCTTTTCATGCATTTTTTATACTTTTTTCTATTTCTTTATTCTATTATTACATGAATTCTGTAAACAAATTTTGCAATCCGTGAAACCAATTCGGAGATTTCTCCTAAAACATAATCTCGTAAAACAGGACGACTTTAAGATCTCTTTAAGGCTTATTATATCTATTATGTTTGCAGGGTAATTGGTTAATTTCTTATGGCTTAAGGCTTAAAACACCTATTGTAGATCTGGACTAAATACTTATAATCATCATTCTCTGTCTTTATTATTTATTAGATCTAAAACGAAGATAGAAACACTGAAAGCTTTAAAAGCATCCAAATTGAACTCTAATATCTATTTTAAAGTCATAGGCGCATAATAGAACAAATATTAGGAACAGGAATAAATATTAAGATTTCAACCTATCAGATATCAGTTACACCGGAATACACAGTTTCTAATAGATTGAAATCTTAATATTTATTCCTGTTCCTAATATTTCCATTGTGCACAGGGCCTTATATTAATGATACTAAAAATTGTTCCAAGATTGAGAGAAGGAAAAAATTAACAAATCACCTCTAAATAATTCGACCAAAAATGATCAATACAATTGATCAATTCTATCTTGGTCCGACATCTCGGAGTATATAATTTCTAGTATCACAAACTCAAGGCTTAAGGCTGCAGTACAACTTTGTACAGAAGTGTGTTGTGCAGAAGTCTGTGCTGTTATATTATTGTTTTCTCTTTGTTTCACTCAACAAAGTGATGACAGGAGAAAGTATTTAACTCTCGAGTTAAGTTTCGAACGATTTATATTAGACTAATATCTCTTGAACTTTGCAGCATCTTTTGGAATATCAACATCTTATAAATTATATACTACATTCTTTGTTTCTACGCATGATTTTCTTCAATAATTAAATTTACAGGTTTTCCTTCTGTGGGAAAATCTACATTGTTGAGTACACTCGCTGGCGTATATTCCGAAGTAGCTGAATACGAGTTCACAACACTCACAACTGTTCCTGGTTGCATAAAATATAAAGGTGCAAAAATACAGGTAAATCTACAATGGATTATAGTTACTTATTTAGATTGTCTCTGTATATAGTATCAAAACTGCTACAATGACTTTTGCATGAAAATAAGTTGAAAATGTCTAATAAATATACATATGTCTGATTCCAAATAGTTTCGGAGTTACGGGATATTGAAATAAGAAAATATGAATCATAATAAATGTTTAATGTTCGTTATTCTATTTAATGCTTTACAAAACATGTTCAAAAATTTCTTCGTCGACTTTGATACACTTTCTAGTACGAATTAATAAATTATTTCGGACTTGATGACAAATATTTGGAGTTTTGCGGATATCGGCAGCGTTAAGTATTAGTGGCTATAATTCTGCATTCTGAATCTCATTCTGGTAGATTAAATCTTTCATTCGTCCCAAAGAAAAAATCCAGTGATGTGAGGTCGGAACTTCTCACTGGCCAGTAGGAGCATCTTAACTTCGTCCAATTCAATAAGGATAGTGGAGAAACATTCGCACAGAACGTATAAAGTGAGATGGTGCCTTGTCATGCATGAACCACATGTTTCTTCGAATTAGAAGATTTACATCCTCCAACAGTGCTGATTGGTCATTGCTCAAAAAGTGCAAGTAAGCCTTTCCTGGATAAATAAGGCAGCCTGAAGGACTTAATTATATGGTTAGCAAGGATTCTAGTCCACACTTTGACAGTGAATTTGAGGAACGAATGAAAGATCTAGTCTATCAGAAAAAAATTCAGGATTCAGAACAACAGAATAACGAACATTAAACAACATTTACTACAATTCAGTTTCCTTATCTCAATATTCTGTAATTCTAAAATCATTCGAAATCGAACATATGTTTATTAGACTTGTTTTCATATGCTGAAGCCGCTGTAGAAGTTTTAACACCATATGCAGAGATACCCTGTATATAACTAAGATAATTCATCTTTAATATCTTTTAATATTTCTCAGTTTAAATTAGAATTTGAAGTTAATAATGTACATGTAAAAAAGGACAGTAATATCAGCTAAATATTAGTTGCTGGTTTAAACTTTGCTACACATAGAGAAAAGATTAGCCAACGCAGCTAAAATATAGCTGTGGCAGTTAAAATGTGTCCTTATAATAAGGACAGCTAATGTTTACTGTCAAAGCTCAATTTATTCTATTAAAATTTAGGTACTGCAGTGAAAAATATTCACTGCTAGAGTAAAATGATGTTCAATTAAATATATATAAGCTAATTTCTTTTTACAATAGAAATTAATAATATTTGCAGCAAGATTAAAAATCTTAGCTGACATTGTATAGGGTGTCCCATTTTAATGTCCCACTCTAAATAACTTTTTTATTTTTGATCTTAGAAAAAATATTTTAGACAACAATCTATTCCACAGTCTTGTTCAGTATTAATGATATAAATTAATAAAATAAATAATATTAGGTGTTGGAATTAATTCGTAGCGTTTTTAATGAAAGAATGTTATTTATTTCACATGAGCATTAAAAAATACATTAATGAAAGTACTTCCCATCACTTGTAAAACGCTACGAATTAATTCCAACACCTAATAATATAAAACAGTCGAGGACTCTTAAAAATTAAATAACAATATAAGGATAAAACAGGCAAATAAGAATCGATTCTTTAAAATGTAACGTATGAAACTTATTAATAGGAGTTAAATACATAATAAAAAACAGAAATATTATCTTTCCTATATTGAGTTATCTTCAGATATTATCCTCTTCATTATCACCTTATATTAGTTATCATCGTCAAAGAGATAAAAAACATGAAGTAATGTGTCCAATTTGTGTCCAATTTGTGTCCAATTTGTGTAGCAATCTTGATAAATGTTACATGGAAGACGTCAGTTACTCATAAACGATTAGATGTTACGGAATTTTATGATATTCTGATCAGAAAGACAAAATTCGTTCATCGAGAACTACCCAGATAGCCAAGTCTGTAGAAAACAGATTTTTTTTAAATGTCTGCTACACACTATGCCAACAAAATAACAACAGAATTAGATGTATATATCAAATTGAGCTTTGGCAGCAACGAAATTGTCCTTTATAAAGATACATTTTAACTGCCACAGCTATATTTTAGCTATATCGGCTAATCTTTTCTCTGCGTGTATATGATAATAAAATCAAGTAAGATTATAACAGAATGCATCTTGCAGTTGTTAGATCTTCCAGGTATTATAGAAGGCGCAAAAGATGGCAAGGGACGTGGACGACAAGTCATTGCTGTGGCACGAACATGCAGCTTAATCTTCATCGTTTTAGATGTGCTCAAACCACTCGGACATAAGCGACTGATTGAACACGAATTGGAAGGTTTTGGTCTGCGATTGAATAAACAGCCACCAAATATAACTTTCAAAAAGAAGGACAAAGGTGGTATTAATTTACAAACAATGGTGAGAAAACAATTTGTAATAATGGACTCTTGATAATTGAAATAAATAAATAATAAAATGGATACGGGAGTCAGGTGGAGATTATTATGCAAAATTAGTCAATAAAATAAGTTTAATACAATAAACGTAAATAAAACGATATCATGTTTTACTGATACTTTTGCTATTCTTGGATCCTTGAGGATAAGCTACTTTCAGTTTTAAATATTTTGTTAATTTTCACTTGCATGGGTTAATTAAAAATTTCTAGTACAACTAGAGATTCTTGTCAAGCGGTCATCCAATCACATGTGAGCAATGCTCATGTGGTCAATCAACGTTAGAAGTGACTTATCATGACCCATAAATAGATTATTGTTGTTAATAATTATGATCTGAAGAAAGCTCAAAACATAAATTGAAGCTTGTAATCATTAAATATTATTTTATTTAGTGCACGTATGTATTAAATTTATTTTATTGACTAACTGTGCAATAATTTCCACATCTGATCTCTTATCAGTTTTATTATTTATTTGAAAAAGATTTATGAAATAATTAATAATTACAATAATTTATAATTAATTCTTTGCGCCACGATGGGACCCATCAGCCGAAACGTTTATGTTATGAATTTTAATTGTTAACAATAATTTTAAATATATGATTTCGCTACGAATAATTTGCGTTTAGCTGTATGCTCCTTATTTGATTATTACAATTTTTTAATTCGTCTCTTATAAAACAAAATATATAGGATGAGATCGGAATTGAACTTAGGATTGATCAACTATGAGTTGATTGCTCTTGCTCGGAATTACATACCACCTGATTAATATTGATAGTCAATACACCAAATATTGATATTAAAAGTTATTACGTTTTTGTATTTCAGTGTCCACAATCTGAACTAGATTTTGACGCAGTGAAAATGATCTTGTCAGAATACAAAATTAGTAATGCGGACATTACACTAAGGTACGATGCTACCTCAGACGATTTGATTGACGTTATAGAAGGGAATCGCGTTTATATCCCTTGTATTTATCTCTTAAATAAAATAGGTAATTGTGTGTAACATGATAAATATAAGTATAAGTATTGTACAATAAGAAATATTGATAAAAATGGGGAATTCTCTTGTAGATCAAATAAGCATAGAAGAACTAGATATTATTTATAAAATTCCACATTGCGTGCCAATCTCAGCCCATCATAAATGGAATTTTGATGATCTATTAGAGAAAATGTGGGATTATCTACAACTTGTTAGGATGTAAGTTTACAATTTATCTCGTATATATCATATAAGCTAATTTAATAGAATTTTATTAAAACAATATAATTTTAATTTTTAAAATAGTTATACGAAGCCGAAGGGACAACTCCCAGATTACAACGCACCCGTAGTACTAAACACCGAAAAGCGAACTGTTGAAGATTTTTGTAACAAGCTTCATAGATCAATCGCAAAAGAATTTAAATAGTATGTCTTTCATATTTCATCATTAGTTTTGGGGTTTTTTTTATTACTAAATATTTACTCTTTTTGTTGCAGCGCATTGGTATGGGGCTCATCCGTAAAACATCAACCCCAGAAGGTAGGGAAGGACCATCTTCTTTGTGACGAGGATGTTGTGCAAATTGTGAAGAAAGTGTGATATTGTTTTCCTTGCACAGTCGTTTATTGGCAGCACAAATAAACTTAACTAATGAGATATATTTAAAAAGATCATTTTAATTAATTATAATGGATAAATTAATACACAATCATATAATATATGATTTAAATCGTTATTTGATCGATGAGAAGATGCAGATGCAACATAAATGATGAAAAATTGTGGTTAAATCTTCGTAACATTATAAACGCATTTGGTTTTGTGTATATAAAATAATAATCAGATTTATATTTTATCATTTAAAATGTCTTGAATGAGAGAGAGAGAGAGAGAGAGAGAGAGGGGGGGGGGCGTATATAAGATACACAAAGTCCCGAATCTTTTAAATGTCTTGAAAAATAAGCATTTCTGAAAAAAATATTTCATACAAAAGTTATAGGATTTCAAAGCTCGAACTCCGACGAAATCACCAGAGGTTGCGCCGTGCGCCGCACATCGACATGTATTTTTATTTATTTATTTTATTGAATACTGTACTGCAGAAGCATTTCCAAATCATTGGATACTGACTAGTGACTTCGTTTATCAGAATAGTTTTATGTTATGAGCCAATACGCGTACGAGGCTGCAATGTATAACGTCACTAGCCAGTCATTTGGGAACGCTTCTCCAGTACAGTATCCAGTAAAATGGCGGCTACTGAATACTGCACTGAAACGAAATGGGAACACAGCCTAAGAAATGGTAAAAAATATATCAATTTTGAAATTTTTGATCGGTTTCGGTATAAACTCCACTTTCCAGACACAAGTATTAATGCGTATACTTTAATTCTGAAAAAGGATTTTCGATTCAGTGAAAGAGAAAAAAAGTATTTTTTATACAAAAATTATACGTGCTTACGTGATAAAACAGGGGACTTTAGGATCCCCTTAATAGGGCCCGAGCATAATTGAAGAAAGAACAATGACATTACCGACAATTAATAAAAATTCATGATTATTAACGTATTTTGATAATACATTAAATTTGTGATTTTTTATTACAAAAAGCTATATAAATAAGTATGCATATTTTAATACTTTTAATGCTATAATATCTTATATATTGCTAGAAAATTACAATTTTTTTTCTCTGCAGTTATCATCTCTATTGATAAACTTGGATGATAACATTAAAATCACAGTTTTAAATAAAAATCGAATATTGTTAAGTTTTAAACATATGTATATGTCTACGAAATTAATAAATCATGAAATTAGTATCATATTATTAATTTTTTATTCTAAGGCTTGATTGCACTAACGTTACTTTGATTTTAAGTAAAGCTTAAAACTTTTTCTGTCTCTATCTCTTTTTGGCTTTAAAACGAGACAGATAGAGTTTTAAGCACTTAAAATCAAAGTGACATTGGGCTTTAAATTTTAACAAGTAAATATTCATAATCGCCGACTGTCTTTAATAGTATCTCGTCGGTGCTTACATATATAACATTGTGTTTATACATTTGCAAAAATAAAATATTTAAATATAGATTGTTAAATTTATGTCAATCCTTCATTTAGTATAGTTAAGAAAGTTACAATTTTTTAATATTTTTTTAACCACTTAATGCATTTTAAAAAATATATCGGACATGATGACTCCTGTATACACTTAATGGGTACTAAAAAAATCTATACACGATAAGTAAATATATATTTGATACTTAAGTAATACTTAAATTTATTACGTCGACATATAACTTAAATATTATTTAAGTATCAATTAAACACATATTTAAATATCATTTCTGAAGTTCTTAAAATTTTTTAAAAGTTTTGTGATCTGTTTACAGATTACAAACGTTAAAAACGTTAAAAAACCAAAAATCTGAATATTTAATAATTTAATCTTAATGTACACTGATTAGTTGGCAATAACAACGCTCCGATATTTATAGTCCGTCTACAATTGGAAAGTAGGCCTTGGAAAGCTCCTCCAAATCTGTCTGCAGGTTGAGACCACATGTCTGTCTTCTGATGTGTAGCATCTCTGACACCAATCTCTTTCTGTATTGGGTTCCTCATCCAAAATGCAATATTTTCCCAATCGAATTCGTGGTCCTCTTCCAATCGGTGGTCTGTTATATGTTGTGTTCCACCGAATATGATTCCTATGCTCATTCCTATTCTCGTCTTCAGCTGTTCCTGTTTGTCCCACGTAGCTCACATCTCAATCTTTGCAACAGATCTTGTATACCATATTAGATTTCTTTTCATATGGAAGGGGATCCTTATGTACCTTGATGAATTCACACAACTTATTAATACTATAAAATGATATTCTAATATCCTTGCTTAATCTATTGAATTTCTCGGAAAACATCGGAACATAAGGAACAGTAAACCATGAAGCGCTTTCGATATTGTCATTATCCTATTTCTTTTTCTTAAAATTAATAATGTTTTTTAATCGTTTACTAATACTATCAAAAATGAATTCTAATGGATAATCATTCTCTAACAAGATTTTAATTACAAAACAAAAATTATCAAGATGAAATTTAGGATTCAAAAGTAAAATTATTCTATCTGCCCAACCGGCAATCGTGCCCTCTTTTGAGAAATCGGTGATGAGACAAGAAATTCAAATATACCTCCCCGAAAACGTTAATTTATGGTACCAATCAAATTCGATTTTATTATTATTAATAATTAAAATAACATCCAAAAAGTTTAACCTATCGTCTCCATGGTAACTGAATCCACAGATGCTCAGATCCTCAGAGAGTTAAAAATATCGGGAACCGAATTAATCAAAGTGGTAGGTACCATCATAATTATATTGTCTATCAATAAAATAGCGGTGAACGAATAAAAGACACGGCACTACTTCCAAATTTTGCATGATCAGATCAGCAACGACGGGAGATAACGCAGAGCCCATGGGAGTGCCAATAATTTTGCTTATATAGGGTGTCTCAGAAATAGGAGCCGCATTGGGGGCGTAGAATGGATCAAGGAACAAAAAAGTCTGATATTTTGAGATTTTCGCTGTAGTTTTCGAATTAAAAAAGGAAACATATAAGTCAATGTGCAATGAAGCCGCGCCGCGCAAATTCGTAGGACGGCCCATCGCTATATGTAGCACGATTATATGAACTAAATATTGATTTATCATCTCCTGCTTTTAAAAATGGACTACCTTAAAAAAGTGGACATTGCTATGTAGTTTACATATTGTCAGAAGGTACTAGTACGTGGCAGCATTTTGCGGTTACAGGTTTTGAGCCGTCATGTCCTCTCTCAGGTTTTTCTCTGGTAATATTGACCTACCGACTACTGAATGCACTTAAAACTTCTTAAAGGTATTCATAAAAATGGAAAGTAATATGAATAATAAAAAAATATTTAGTCAATATTTTATTCATAATTTTTTATTCGATATTTTTATATTTAGCAGCAAAAAATATCGAATATTCGATATTGTCTAATAACAATAAACATCCCTAGTAAAGTTCCCACATAATACCATTATTTATATAATGGTATTAATATTACCATAATTTATATAACAAAAGTTTTTGGTAATTAAAGCAAAATAAGTCATTCATATATAAAAGTTTTTCGCAATTAAAGTAAAGCAACTCATGATAATAAAGTGATATTAAACTGAATTGTGATTAATAAAAAAGTGACTTTTAATAAACATTTTGGAGCCATTTTAACTATTTTAATCATGATGATTTTTTTGTTCTTTTTAAATATGTTTTTAAATTTATTGCGTTGATAGATTTTAGAAACATTTCTGTTAAAACATTTTATATGACATATATTATATTAGAATCTTTTCAGAATTATTGCACATGAGATGTGAAAGATTGAAACATTTTTGAAAATTTCCGCAACAATCGGTGCTGTATGTGAGGATTAAACTATACGCATTAATATGTATTTGTAGAATTTATGCTGAGAACAATTAAAAATTTCGAAATTGATATATTTTTTATCATTTGTTAGTGTAACATAGAGTCTCAACCCAGTCAGAAATGATAATGGAATCGACATCGAATCGATCTCGAATTAAATTAAATATTTATTTATGATCTCAAATGCGAAATAATTAAAAAAAAATATGTATGCAATGTGCTGAGAAAAATGTGATATAAATATAAATAAAAGTTGAATACAAAAATGTGAAAATTTATTGTGCTTGAATTCTGTCTTTTATTTGTTATTGTATATATAACAGCAATGAAATAGCTATTTTTTTGCTATCATTTTGATGCATCAACTTTTTTTTGGTCATCGATGATACATCGAAGAGAAACTTTTCCACTGCTAGAGGGAGAAACCGTTTGTCCGATATACCGATTTGTGCGCTGGAAAACAGCGACTTCTGGTGACTTTATCGGAGTTCGAGCTTTAGGGTCTGAGTACAAGAATTGTCATAACACTTACTTTAGAGACTTAAGTTGTAGACATAAGTAACGCACAAGCTTTGGCATATGACGTACGATTTATTTTATTGCCGTCTCTTGGAGACATGGCAATAAGTTGTACGTCAGTTATCACGTACGTTATACGTGAAAGCTTGTGCGTTACTTATATCTACAATTTAAGTCTAAGTAAATGTTACGATAATTCTTGTGCTTAGACTTTTAGGATCCCCTTAAAATAAATTTATTTACAGATATTCAGTACAATTATTAGATAAATAACATCAATTTGTTTGCTAGGAAACAACATGTATATATACATATACAATCTTCTAAATTAAGTTATTTACAAAGTTTTCAAAATATATTCCTTCCTTTGTTGATCCAACAATTTTTCCAAATGTTCACATCTTGAATTAACGTCATCCAATTTTTTATTGAGATTCTTTATGATTAAAACCTTTTGAGTGACTACAAATTTTATCCTAAAATAAAACGTCATATTCGTAAGATCTACAATATATTATACATTATGACATATACTGATCCATAAAAAACTAGTATAACATTACAGTGACTAGTTTTTTGCAGATTAGTATTAAAAGAATTATAAATTTATAGTATTAGACTTAGACCTGATTGCACCAACATTACTTTAACTTTAAGCGAGACTTAAAATGTTAAAACCGA